AGTGAAGGTGTCTGAACATGAGGGATCATCCCGGATGAGATCGTCAGGTAAAAGGTCATCATGTGGATTTACAGCTAAATTATTATTCAATAATTTTACTAATAGTTAGATTTGGCAGGCCTTCACAAAATAGTTTTTAATTACAAAAATGGCCTTGACAAAAGGGCATGTGACGAGTGGGGCGGGGCTGAGAGCCATGGGAGCGGAGCGAGGCCGGTGGAGTAAATGATAATGAGCGACACCTGCACCACTCACCGGTCTTGAATCCCATGGAGGAGCTCCAGAAAGATAAAAGGAGGAGTGACGACAGTGCTAGACGAGAGAGGACCAGGCCTGGACTTTATTTTGTGTTTTGTGTGTGGCAGTCGTCCGTGAGGGGCTGCCGCTTTACTTTCATTTTGTATTTGTTTGTTTTATTATTAAAGTATATAAATGTTCGGCGGTTCCCGCCACCTTCTTTCCGATCTACGAACTTTGTTACAGGGTACTTTGGGCATCAAGGGGAAAGGGGCAGGTGCTCAAGCATCCACCGCCCCCCGCTGCACATGCCTGGTGCAAATGATAAACTTTCATTAGCCACGATTGTTTTGTACTCAGTAATGGATTATAAGATAACTAACAAACTGGTAAGATTTTAAAACATTTTAGTCTTAAATCAATATATTTTATCACCTTGTTTATTTATGTGGTGAAATGTGTAATAAGTGGTTTGACTGCACCGTATCCCTAAATGTCCGTCTAGTTTGAACATGCTGCTTGCTCGCAACTGCTGTGTTCACGGAAGCTTTGTGTTCAAATATTTCAACTTAATCGGCGAATTTAGCAAACATATAAAATACACAGAGAAAGATTAAAAATACGGGATAAATATGGGAAAATATTTAAACGAGATGATAGCGGGATAGAATGGTAAAACACGGGAGAATCCCGGGAAAAACGGGAAGGTTGACAGGTATGAGGTAATGTCACAAAATCTATAGCAGGGGTGTCAAACTCAATTCCTGGAGGGCCGGAGCCCTTCAGAGTTTTGTTCCGAATTTTTGTGTAAATCGTTCGTAAAGTCGTTTTGACGTAAACTTTCGAATTCATGAAAATGTTTGTATTTTCAAAATGTTAGTTGATACGAAAGAAATGTACACCTGCTCCCTACCATGTGTAAATGGTGCGTAAAACGTTCTGTGTTCTTTTTGGCAAACTGATGACACTGAATTTTGATGCACTGCCATAATAATTACAAGTTAACTTGCCTTGCCCTCTTTTTGAATTTTTATTTTTTTATTTTTTATTTATTAAATATTATTATTTTATTTTTTTTTGCAGCTGAGTTGATAATTGTAAAACGCAGCATTCGTCACTGTCACTATTTACTCAGTCGTAAATAGAGGAGTTGGCGGGAGTCGGGACAAATACCTAACCATCCTACTTGTACAACGACGTCAATATTACTGGTTACTGCTTTTTTAGATTTTGTAAAATTCTTAAAAATGAGATACTAGTAGGCTAATACGTTGCCGCCGTTAATATTCCATACCATAGCAACTAAAAGCGTCTCAGCTGGAAAACCGCTGTGCCACCAAAGCGCTCTCAAGCGCCACCAGCTGGTCGTTTTAAGAAGAGCGCCTGACATTTTTTCAGATGGCTAAAAAATATTTGGTGGTCACAGACATTATTGAATATCTATTGTTAGGCATATGGCATAGTCTTTTTTGCATTTATGCAATATACTGGAGCCAAACCTGAGAAAGTAGACCAGAATATTCCACTGCGTTCCTGGACACGCAATTTGCGTAGCTGTCTTTTATAGGCGAGGATTATGCTAATTGTGAATGAGTGTGCGCAAACGCCATATTACGAATGATTGGAATTCATTAACATACACATGTTTAACTATCAAATCGGACATTTACGAAGAGTTTGTGAATCCGGAAGAGAGTTGCTGGGAAGGTCTGTTTTGCGCGCAAATTACTCAGAATTGACTCATATATTTACGCAAGTTTCATGAATGAGGCCCAATGTCTCTTAAAGTGACCGCGCCTAATTTACTAGCTGCTGTCGGTGTCCTTAATGTTAATCCAAGAAAATGAAAGAAAGAAAATCACTCACTGCTCTTGACTGAATTACTTTATAGTTTTAACAAGAATTAATCCAGTCAAACCAAAAATTATTCAGACAACAGATATCATTTTCGATATTTTTATATAGTGGGTTCAGGACACTATAGTTCAATTATGTAAGTGAGTATAGCTAAATAAAGTAAACTGAGACATATTATACCCAAAAAGTCTTCATACAGTGGACTATCAGTAAAATTGATAAAACATTTTGGACAAAAAATTATTCAGACACTTTGACCTGACCATGTTTTGCTTAAGTGTTTTTTTCTTGAATTGCTAATGTGACCTTTTTACACCATAGACTATTAAGCATAAATTAAGCATTGCTTGGTAATTGGTCAACAAAGTATTGATAGTTGTGTAAATAGTCTCATACTAACAGTTGTTTGAATTTTGGTTGATTGTAATCCATTACATACCTTTCTATCGAAGTTATCTGACATTATAAAGATTAATTTGTTCTGACATGGTTTAACTGAGTTCTTGTCATATTGTATTACCATTTTCTAAACTATAGCAAATAAACTGTGATAATGTGAGAAATGTTGAAGGTGTCTGAATACATTTTGTTTTGACTGTATATTTAATTTTTACTGTGAAGACTATGCAGTGCTATCTTACATTTGATTATTCGGTTTCTGTACCTGGACAACTTGAAAAAAGCTTGTGTAAATAGCACAAATGAATAAATAGAACGAACATTCAAATCAAACAATTTCAAACAGGGCCCACTGGTACGACCTGCACTGGGGCCGTAAGGCCGGGAATTCCAGGTTATAAAACCTCGCAAATGTGGACGGTGAGGCCCAGCCGGCCGCCTCACAAATATCCGCAATGGACACACCACTGGACGATGCCCATGACGAGGCGATGCGATGCCTCTAGTCGAGTGGGCCCGTACTCCAATGGGGCATTGGAGGCCCAAGGAAGAGTATGCTAGCGCGATGGCATCTACTATCCATCTAGAGAGTCTTTGCTTCGTAACCGGAAACCCCTTGGTGCGGTTACCGAAGCTGACAAAGAGTTGTTCCGATCGCCTATAGGGAGCGGAATGCTCAATATAGATTCTCAACATCCTGACGGGGGAGAGCAGAGATAGCTCTCTGTCCTCTTCAGTTGGACGCTCAGACCCGGTTGCTTAGTTCCCTGACTCCGCTGTTTCTCTCTCCGAGGCTCGCTGAGAGAGGAGAAACGGGAGAGCGGGGCTGCCTCCAGTGAAGGCGGTCCACGAGTGGAGAAGAGCGAGACTCATGCTCGAGTGAGCATTCCGTCTCAGTGAGAGAGCAGTCTCTGCGTGGGGTCTGCCCAGACAGATGACATACTCATTGCTCTTCTGCATCGTGCAAGTTTCCCTGCACGAGCCACACTCGCAGAGCGACATTTGCAACAACGTCGCAACAATTTGCTCTTTTAGGGCTTACCTGCTATAAATAAGCTCTTTTAGAATCGCCGGATGGCGGCCTCCGTGAATGAAATAGGCTTCAGTTCAGGAGAAAAAAGGCTTTTTCCCATATACGTCTTAAGCAAGACGCAGTACGAGTGAAGTATCGAAATGGAACTAACCTGGTCTAAAGCAGGCTAACTGTCAGACAAGCTGAGTTCCTCTAACACTGACCAATAGGAACATAACGATATTACCACTCTCTCACATACCATTGTTTGACTTTTTTTTTTTACAGTTTCTAGCCATGTAGCCTTTCTCACTGGTTTTATGACAGCTGTACCTTTTAAAGTTTGCAGAACATATAGCAGAACATTAGAACATTATTGCTCTTTAAAGCATTAAAATAACTAAATTAAAAGTTAAAATCACTGAATTAAAAATGAAAATAAATAATAAAGAAAATTACTATCTTTTAATTGCTATAAGAAACACACATTAACTCATTTGAGCTTTGTAATTAGTACTGTACTAGCTTATATTTGATTTACCATAGTCCCTTTACAGTTACTGCTATCATAAAAATACACTTGTATACGGGTTTAAAATTCTACAGAAGACACATTTAATGTCCAACAACAAATATTTTAGCAAAATGTGTATTTTCTCAGAATTATTGCGCTACTATTCTATTGCGCTCCGTCTGTTTAGCAGTGCTTGTTCACTCGCGTAAGCCTTGCCCACTCCTGACAGCAATATGGATATGTTTGTGTGACTTTCTGACATTTACAGATGAAAAATATACCTGTGACATGTGGTTTTCCTCTGGTCTCCGTGGTGTTGTGATTCCTCCTATTCAAGAAGCAGCGTGATGAGAGAACGCGCTTGAGAAACAGTTTAGAGAGGAGAAATCAATCTACATATAAAATATTGGTCACAGATTATTGGTCACTTTCTAAACAATAAAAGTATAGCGCATCCACTAGTAATTATATATTAATAAATCGGTTTTTACCGATGCAAATATGTTAGAAGCGATGTATCGCGATATAAATGCCAACTTGTAGCCGATGCACACTTTTTAAACCGATGCATCGCATCGTTAACTTTTTATGCCGATGCACTGATGCGAATTGGGGAATCTTCCCATCCCTACTGTACACTAACGTTAGATGAGGTAAAATGAACCATGCATATTAGTCTATATTCTACTGGTTTGTGCTTATTGGTGAAAATTACCATTGCAGTGAAGAGTGGAGTTTTTGCTTAGGCTGAGGACAGATTAACAATTGAAGCATAACGAACTATTAATTATCTTCGTTTTGTAGCTACTTTTTAAGTTTGTAGACAGCTGCTGCATTGCGTTATCAAATATGAGGGTTGCAGATTAAAACTCTCAAAGCTACAACAGCAAGATAGCTTATATAACAAATATATACAATCATTTCTGTTTAAAGCTGCACTTTAACTTAACTGCTCTTGGCAAAACGATCAAAGTACTGTACCTGTAGTTGCCTAAGCCTGTCGAAATGTTAGATGCTTTTTTTCAGGTCTGTTAATGGTCTGATGGAACGGAAGAAGCCATAGATGCTTTTATAGCCGACATGCATGAGAAATCCCCCAAGTTTGTCCCAAATACCTGAGTCACTCTACTTTTGCTTTCATTATGTCCGACCACCTCAGGGTCACATGGTTTGGGAAAACAGGGGATTTCTGTGCGGCAGTGTGTGGTTTCAAAATCAGTCTAACAAGATCGTTATCTGCCAACATAACCTCCCCGATAACCTCCCCGTGCCGTTTACGCCGTATCATGTGTCGACTATAGCCAGAGATAGCCTACTGTCAAAAGCATCAAACATTGGCAATATTAAGAGGATTTGACATTTCCAATTAATTACGCCTGTTACATTCTTATTATTATGACTATTATTATTAGCCTATTAGGTTATTTTTATTATTAAATTACAATTAATTTGCCCCGCAATAATGTCATACACACATCCTTCACTCAAGTAGAAATACAGATAGCCTACTCATGTTTAAAAAATACTCTGGTAAAAGTACTGACTACACTTTTTTACTCAAGTTAAAGTAAAGAAATATGGGCTCTGACATGTACTTAAGTAAAAGGTAGCCATTACTACTACCTGCTTTAGTGGCACGCGGGTAACGGGACCTCATATAAATACCTAATACAAAAGAACTTACATTTTAAATTTTGTTAGCTAATGAATGTATCCAGGCTGAAAAACCGCCATAGAACAAGGCCGGACTGGGACAAAATTTCACTCATCCAGGCCGTCCCATACACCCACAACAAATTCTGAAACCATGGACAACACTATTTTTTGTATGGCCATCACATAAAAAAGGTTAAAATCCTTAGGCTGGGGCCGTGCAAAATAACTATATTTTCTGAATTGCCTAAATGTCAAAATTAGTACAACAATAAATACACCATGACAATATATTTATAGAAAAATTCGAATATTGAACATGTTATTGCATTATCATGAGTCATATTTTTCCCTTATAAAATTAAGTATGGTTTTATTATAGTAAAAGTATAGTAACCATAGTTTTACTATGGATGTGAGGCCATTTGTGCATTTTGAGAGAGAGAGAGAGAGAGAGAGGACGCTGTATTGCTGAATCACTCACACTGTTTGTGAAACAGAACGTTTTAAAATGACTGAACTGCTCTTTTAATCTGTTTGGATTCAATCTACTGTACATGCTATAGGGCAGAAATGTTTCCGGGAATTTCCCACATTATAAAAGCGATACCTGCAGGAATGTTATGTTCAATGAAGCAAACCTGGCCCTGCTTAGCTAAGTAAACAAATACAAAACTATAGTAGCCTATTTAGAGATGAAACTGACCTGCACTTGAAGTCTTGAACAGGTCAGTAGTTTTGCCTCTCTGCTCCTCCGTTCTCGAGTCTCTCGCACTGATTATTCTGATCCAAACCTTTAACTGAGGCGCGGAGCGCACGAGAATGAGTGAGGTCTAACTGCAGAACTGGAAGTATTGATCGCTGAAGCTATGCTGGATAAAAGCAGAAACGTTGTGGCTGATGAGACAATGAAAGACTGAAAGACAATACATGCACAACTGCGACAATATATGGTATCTCAAGTCATCATCTCCATGTAATAAATAAAGTATATTAATAATGCAGTGCTACTGACATAGCATTTATTTTAGTATAGAAAGTAACTATAAAAATATTTTCTGCCTTTTTCTGTGATAAAAATGGCGGGGGCGGGGGGGAAGTGTCTGACGTATACAAACAAATCATAAAATTGCCATTAGCAAAATATAGGAAAAATAATATAGAAGCAATGCTCTGTTCCATAGCATTGGCAGCGACAATTAGAAAACACTGTGTGCCGTGTTGTGCCCATTTTCGACCCCCTGGCAAATTATTACCCCCCTCATTGAAATCGCTGCCTGTTTGCCTAATCCTAACCCCGCCCCTAATCATAACCCCTCCCCCACAGCTAACCCTAAACCTACCATTACTAGGGGGTAATAATCTGGCGGGGGTCAGAATTGGGCACAACACCGGTAGAATACAAGTGAGTCCATACAAATCCGACACACCACTGACTTATGCCGCTGAACCAGCACTGAACTAACGTTAGAGAGCTGAAGAGACACCATAGTTGCTGTATTTCTGTTGGACAGGTAATTATCTGGATTATTTTGTATCGGGCGGAATTTGTTGATGATAATGTTCAGTGTTTTCATACATGTGAATGAGACATGAAGTAGGAGTTTGATACGGTTAGTGATGACAGCGCTGCGCTTGGCTCCATCAGTAGTCAAACAGAGGCCGTTTTTGTGTTTTGGGGAGTTGCTTTGGTTCAAGGCCTTATAGGAGAGTCCTTGAACCAACGTTGCGAACCCTAGCTTTAACAGCAAAACAACAATGCCCCTGACATATAAGTGTACGAAAAAAAACACAGGAATAGTAATTTCAGCATTAGTAGTATTTTTTACTTTTCAATTTATGATAGACTCACAAAATTCATTCCAACAACCCTAGTACAGATAGATATATCATCTAATTATGTAATATCAGATGGACTTGTAGATTTTCCATGAAAAATGAGAACCATGTAAGTTTTACTTTAGTATCAAGCAACAAAAAAGTTATAGCATGACGTGTTTGAGATAATTTCCCCTACTTGACATCGTGTCCTGCAATTTGACTATTTCACATGCGCACATTGCAGTGTTGATGCTGAAAAGATATATCATGCAGCCCTTTCCTGAATAAAGCTCTATAGGACAAAATAACACCGGAAGTCGAGTAATGTTAAGGTAACCCATGGTTCAAACACTTCAAGCCTTTACAAATATAAACTGTAACACTTTAAATGTCCTAATTACCTTGTCCTTCTGTAGTGCTCGCCTGCTCCACCAGCATGTTCCTTGTCTCCTCCAACTGTGTGGTCCTCACCTCCTCCCGGTTGCTTGTGTTCTCCAATGGGTCACAGGGTGTGAGGTGCATCATAATCAGCTGATCATCATTGCCACTGGAATCCTGGTTCCAACCTGTGCAAGTTAAACAAGTGTTACTTAAAACATAGAGGTTAACCATGAGCTTGAACTGCACCCGTTTTAAGTGTTAATCTGTTTGATTCATATAGTCCAATTTTTTGGGTTTGTGGGTGCCAAACTGCAAATGTGGTAAGCTGGAATTTGACATACATGTGTTGTGCTCTTCCCATCACTCTCAAAAGCTTGCTCTCTTTTGGGGATCGATTAAGGGAATTGTTTAAGGGATGGTTCACCCTAAAACTACATTTCAGTTATCAAGGACTCAGCTCCTAGGCATAATATACTTTAGAGCTTGCCATTTTAATAGAACGCAGTGTGTTGGCATCACATAATCACAGTAGCTTGCTATAAAAATAAATGCTTCCTCATTCCCAATTGTTGCGCAATTGTTTTGTGCAACAGGTAGAAAAGGTTTTGGAGTCAGTTGTCTTACAAGTAGTAGTTTGCCAAATCTTAAAAAATGGTTTGAGGGAGTGCTGTTTGGCTGTATCTAAGGCTCGATAAATATTGAAATACTTCAATTGTTTGAAAAAACCTAGTATTGTGCTAACAAACTCTGTGTTGGTTATGAATTGAAAACCTCTCCCAAGTTTCTACTGTCAAGGAGTTTAGGGGTTGATGACTGAATTTAAATTTTAGGTGTGAGCCATCCCTTTAAGATTTAAACATTGCTAAAAATCTTTTGCATTCTCAACACAAGTTGTATTCATAAAATGAACCTATCTTCTAAAGGTAGTTCTGGGCATAGGTGGAGAGTGTGCAGTGAGGGGGTTAATATTTCACACTTGTTTTCTTTCTTTTTGGTCTCCTTTCCAAGAAGCGGAACTGGCTTGTATCCAAAGGCATGGAGTTTCTCAAGCTGCAGTTTCTCAGCTTAATGTGATTCAGGATTTGTAACTTTATGGTGAGTTTAGCTTTTGGATAACCAAGTACGTGCAAACAGGAAAGGTTCATACAGTAGAAGCAAAAAACAACTCTTCTATATAGAAAAACAGCAAAAAGATGAATCTGACACCATGAGGGTGTAATAGAACTTTTTGCAATTAGTAGCTCAGGTTTGGCACCTACATTGGTAAGATTGTCCCTGTCCATTTGTAGTGGTTACACAATCTATAGATTTATTCTAAATTAAGGCAGAACCTTTGTGATTATATGACCGAATGCTCCACATACATTTGCAGTTGACATGTGTACATTGTAAAGTGCTTTGAGTTGTACAGTATGAATGTAGTAGTATGAATGCAGTCAAATTGTTATTTATCATCCACTTGATGAGAAACTTTGATTATTATATTGCACCTGTGCTTCTGTCATAATGCATGCCTGTGTTTTATGGCCACTAGAGGTCTATGTTACACCTTTTTAGTTATAGGTCCTCAGTAACCACATCATGGCAGCTCTTTTTTCTTCACATTTTAGATATTACCTCACATTGTTCTCTGAATTGTTTGTTTTATTAACTTTTTTCATCTGTCCTTACTGATTTCAACGAAAATACGAAGATTCTCATAAGCACTGCTGCTCCAAGATATTTCACTACAGTCACAAGAAATTCTATCATAGGACTCCTAGCTTAACCCTGATTGGTGGAATTGGTGTTGTTACAACTCTCCCCATGTTAGGACCACACCCGGTCTCCCTACACTACAAATATCTGTAAAAAAAAAAAACCGGGGCACTGTACTGTATTAATATGAAGGAATTTTCATTGTGTTGTGATTTAGGGTTAATGGAAATGTCTGTAAAATGAATGGACAATCTCTGTAAAAAAAAAAAAAAAAAAAAAAAAAGGGGGGGCACTGTACTGTATTAATAGGAATTTTCATTGTGTTGGGATTTAGGGTTAATGGAAATGTCTGTAATATTAATGCATAATGTCCTTTTTCTGTTTTCTGCTTTTCTGTTTGTACAATTAATTAAATAATTAAACAAATAACACACTAGGCTGTCGGGTTGGATTTGGCGGGAAATGTCAAGCCGACCTCATTTGTTCTTACGTGCTCACGTCATGTCCGTAAACACAGGAAGGATCTATGACGCGCGTGGATGCTTTTACAATAAATAGTGTGGCTGCTTATAATCTGAAGTAGTCGACAGGTTAGAATTAAACCGCAACCGTCGTTAAACTCAACAAACGGGAATCAGCCAAAGCACTGGACTGCGAGAAACTGAAATCAAAGAGCAAAGGCACCAGAGTATATATATATATATATAAATTTGCTCTGCACCTTTGCATGACAATCCATTAAACCTTTACAATCCACTAAATTAAAGCATAATAACAGTTAGCACACCATTTGAGCAAATATCTGACCTTAGGATCTTTAGAGTAGACTACAGTAAAACAGGTGCTTACTGCTACACTGCACTGACATTACTAAAATGCTAGAGGAAGCTGTCTTGGACTAGCTTACGCAAACTCTTCTCAATTTCATTTAATGGGCAGGGTAAAAACACTGGGCTAACTAAAGTGGTGGTTAACTTCTTTGTTCAAGTTGTAACTGTAAGCAATTAAAATAAGAACTACAACAAATATTCAGTAAGATTACTCAGTGTTTTAAAATAAATATCTTACCTTTTTAACAAGACTGCATTTTTTGTTAATAAATGCATTTAAAACAGTTATATTGTGCAATATTATTATAGTTTAAAATAACTTTTATTTGACTGCTGTCCGCGGTGCTGATGCGGGAGAGAGTGGCGCTCTGCGTTCTGCTGCTCGAAATGGATTTCCACCGGATCTTTCTGCTCGGGATTATCGCATTTGGCTTTTAGGATCGCGGCTGGAGTATGATTCACAGACAGCTCGTGCTGTCCCAGGTAGGTGTGTTTGAGCTCGTGCTTTATTGTCCGTGTATGTCCATCTGAATAATATAGACTATATACAGACATTATTGTGCTCTTGGTGCTGAAAATCTTAATAAAAACTGTATGGTTACGGTTTTGTGGCACATTGTGATTAACATGCATCGTGACACGGATCTTGTTCTGAGGTAGTTGCTCAGAGCTACTCTTGACACTTGTCAAAGTCTTGAAAAACTATGAAAGTCAATCTGGTTCATTGAGAGCCCTAAGAGTTCACATTACTAATATCTCTCCATTTCATTTGAGAAGCTATTGTCATATCACACACAAAGAAAATCAAAACGTTTTCACTATACAACTCACCAAAATACATTTGTTTTAACTTGAAATAGATAGAAATATGACTATTGTATAGTAAAATGTACATTACTCCAGTCTTCAGTGTCACATGATCTTCAGAAATCATTCTTATATGCTGATTTGCTGCTCAATAAGCATTACTATCAGTATTTAAAAAAAAAAAATTGTGTGGAAACCATGATTACGTGATAAATAGTTCAAAAGAACAGCTTTTTTTTTTACAGAAATCTTTTGTAAGATTATAAACTATTTACCGTCACCTTTGATCAATTTAGTGTGTTCTTTTTGGGACAAGAACACAGTTCAAAAGTCTTACTGGCTCAAAACCTTTAAATAGTCTTTTTTTTCTAGGCATGGCATTTTGAGATTCAACTACAATCCAGTTCAACCTCTTATGCTCAGTCCCTCATTTACAAACCAAGAAAAAGGGGAGTGGAGCTGACCTGATTGACAAGCCTCATCCTCTGCTCTCCACACCAATGTGGCAGGGGATAATAATACACACACACCCAAAAAAAAAAAAAAACAATACACTAACCCGTGGAGAATATGCTCACAGACACGTACACAGATACCGAAATGAAATGGTTAAACTTTATTAATGCTCATTAAGTATGATTACACACACACGTGCATTTTGTTGCACATAGATATTTGAAATAAATAGTACATAACAAACTGCTTAGAGCAAGTCTTCTCTTTTTAAGAGTTTATATAATTTTCAGGTTTTACTGTACTCACAGTATGGCAAAATTGTCAAAACTGATATATCTATATAAATGAAGTGGTAAACTTTGACTAAATGTGATTTTAAATGTTATAACAGTGATTTTATAATGTATAAATATGAATCCAAAAGCAAAACGTATGAAAAGTGTTGTTTTAGTGAGTTGGCGGAGCCGATTAGTTGTCCTCTGCTGTCACCTAGTGGTTATAATTGCAATTTCATGGAGTTTAACAGAGGTATACTGTTTTGATCCTTTATAAGCATTATAGTGACAATTGTTGTCCAATGTCCATAAAAGTTTGCATGCTTGTTTAGAATCATATGATGCATGAGTTGACATAGTTTTGTGGAGATTTGAGTTTTCTTTTAGGATTTATAGGCCTTTGGGTAAAGTAGGTAAATACCATATTATTAAATGGCCCTGTTATAACTGTCCAAATGCAAAAGTTCAAAATTGCTTGCAGCATAACATCAATGTTTCTCTGTCCATCCTTGACTTAAACACAGGCTCTACTCTCCAGCACAATAGTAACCCACAAAGCACACAACAGGAATCTGACTGTTAAGTTTTACAGTATTTTACTGTACGGTATTTTTTCATGGTTTTATGGAAAACTACTGGCAGCAGGGTTGCCAGTAATCTACAGCTTTTTTACATGCTTCCGTAAATTAAATTTGCAGTATATTACTGTTAAAAGATGAAATCAACTAAAAATAAAACACATTAAATCTCTCAAGATATCAGCAAAGGATGATTAAACAACCCCAAAACAGCATTACCAGCTTCACGTATTACTAACCAGTGTGACTTTATTTCTGTCATGTGTACAAGTGTTATTTTTGAAATTTTAGGTGTTGTACTTTTATTTGAAGTCACCATAATGGTGATCAGTGTTTGGGAAGTGGGACGTTGCTTTGAAATTATCTGTATTGTATAAAGCACTATATACCTGTAAATAAATGTGATTTGACAAACATGAGCGCTATGACAAACTGATGTGCACTTTACTGCACACTGAGCATGCAAAAAAATACAATACGGGGCTGTTCTTGTTTTTGCTTTTACACTGATGAATTTTAGGAAAAAGGCTGGATCACTGTTTTTTTCTAAATGTTTCTGCTTAGTTTAGCTAATATACTATAGGTATACAAGTAGGCTATATAAAACTGTTAGAATAATGTGTTATTAATGTTACGACCCTTCTTTTGGTTGTTAAGCATCTAGGGACTAAGAAGGGGAACATTGGACCAGTTCAGACCATTACCAGCTTCACACTCGGTGTGCGAATGAAAGTAAGTAAGACTGGAGACTAAATCAAGCGTACTTGCTTTTTTATTGAAGGAGGTTGAAGGGAAACTGGATTGTGCCAAAAGAAAAAAAGTAACAAAACCATAAGAAATCAAACTAACCCATTTTAGTCTAATCCTAAACTAAAATAAAGAAAAATGTGAAAAGGAAAACATCTTCAACGTCCGAGACGTCGTAACTCAACTACACTAACTAACCAAACAAAAATACAGAAAGTGGCACCAATCCCTAACCTAGTGTGTCTAGACAATCAAACTACATGTGCACCATGTAAGTCATGTGACATAACTTACCTACCACTTTACCTCCGTCCAGTTTTAACACATCTTTGAAAAAGCTTTGTAAGGCATTCAAATGTCACAGATCAGTAGATTCGGGCCAGCCAAGTAGGTAAGATATTTTACATGGCAATCAAAGCACATCACAAACTAAACCAAACAAACAAAAACACAAAGACAAAATATCACAGGCCGAGTTCACCAAGCCAGCTTTCGAATACACTGGCATTTCCCTTATATATCACAGCTGGACGGCAATCAGCGAGCGCGATGGAAGAACAACCCCCTCCCGTCATCACACCCAATCAGCTCGTCCCGAATGATTGACAAGTGAGCCGACCAATCCGCACGTCACCTGCAAAAGTGAAAGTAAGAGGGAGCAAAAGAGAGAGAACGCGATGGGAAAAAACTCAAGCAAAAGAACACAAAAACAAGAGAATACTCAAACGACCAGTCAGCGTCACATAGGGACGTAGCATTAAGCAAACCCACTGCATTTTTATATGCGTACATTGTTTGCAAACATACTGAATGTTATCTAGGTCATTTATCAGTGTTTTTAAAATTGTCTAAACGATGATTCAAACCAAAAGAGGCATTGTAGTCTTTTTCAAGTCGGTTGTTAATTGACATTTTGTTCGGCATTGTTATTCTTACTACTAATAGATTTATTTTACCTTGTACAGTATGTGGTGTTTTAAATGAATTAATTGCAGCAATGGCATGGTTAAACAGCATTCAAAGAAACACTTTATTGTTCTAAACTCTAAAGTCTAATTATAGGGAGGCAAATTTATAGTAATTGACTTGTAACTGCCTGTTGAAGCATCATTTGTGATGTTTTACACATTAATTATTCTGTGTAAAAACAGTAATATCAGTCTGTCTGCTGGTCACTTTTAATACTCTTCAAAGTGGTTTACTTGTAATGTATGTGTTGAAAATAAATATTTACTTGAAATAATCATCAACTTATTCATTATTCTTGTTATGTCATGGTGGTGGTGATGCTATTTATTATTAGTAGTAGATGTAATGAATTATTATTGTTATATATTGTATAATAATATTGGTGTTATCAATAATGTTTTACTAGTAACAATACTACTGTAAATATGAACAATGGCATATGTTATCAAAGAAATATATACCCTTACTGTCATATTAACTCAACTTTTCAAAATGCATAAATAATAATCATCATTTGTTAATTATTAAAAGTTCTAATTACTTATTGCATTTTTATATATAAAAAAAAAACTTAGACATGGACAGTTGATAAAATATAACACTTTTGGGGTTGTTTATTGTTATGTAATGCTTTTATATGAAATATCTCATGTTTTGTATTTTTAATGTCTCATTGTCATTATTTGTTTCTTGCCCCTCTTGCATATGCAAGGTGGTTTAGATATTAATTAGATGATGATTAGCAATAGCGTTCATGTTCAGAATTATTGGGAGAGCTGCATAAAGCCAGTATTTCTCCAACATTCTCCCTCAAAGTATTTATGAGGCCTGGTAAACTCTGACTATAAAGGAGACGATTCTCTGCAACATTTTCTGCTGCCTTCATCACATCTTTCATGGCCTTTATCACAGGCTCCCAGAGGATGAAGCTCTGGGTTTGTTTCTCCAATACAGTGGCTCTTCCACTAAGAAGAGTCAGAAGGTTCACAGCTCGCCTGACCGTTTCCTGAAGTTCAGCTGTGAACTGTAGATGCTGCTTCAAATCTTCAATTTCCTTCTCCAGTTTATTTAGCAACTTAACTGTCTCTTCAGTCTCATTCTGTATGTTAGCGATCTTGGATTGGTAATCAGACACCTTCATGCTGTTCTCATTCAACTGGGACTCCTGTTTTTTTAGCTCATTTTCAGCATCCCTGATAGCGTTTGAAGCCTTAACAATTTCGCTGGCTCCCACAGACATCATTATTATACCTAGTGGAAGGCAAGAAATCTTATCAGCCACAAATATAGGTTAGTTGTACTTGTTAAGATGATAATAAAAAGTAGTAGTAGATACGAGAGGATTTCTCACCAGGAATCCATCCGATAATTGGTATTGCAGCCACTACCGCCCCTCCAATTGTTACACCTGTACCAGTGTTCTGTCTAGCTCTCTGTCTTTGTAGTTCATCGTTTGCTAATGCTACCATTTTTTTTGCCTGTTCCAAAGCTGCTTTAGAATTATTTAATGATTCTTCAGCAGATTTCTTCTCAATGTGTAATTCACCAATTGCATTGCATTTTTCTTTGTTCTGCTGCTCAGCATTTCCTTTTTCTTTAATAAGTCGCTCCATGCATTCGTCTAAATATTTTAGTTTTTCCTTAATCATTG